ACTGTATAAACAGGCAATAACAGTAAGTTCATAGTTATAGAATTGTTCTTATTTGCATAATATCACTCAACACCTCAAGTTCGTAATTTCTAAAGAAGTCGAATTATAATCGTTTCTGTGGCATAATGTGTCTTTAAGCTAAACTTTATAACAAAACAATGAGCATAATATCCCTTTGATATGTAAGTATCTGTTTCAATGTTTATCATCTTTTGTTCACTTAGCTTGTAAAAATATTCTTCCTTTGTTATAAATTTCTAAATATAGTATTTTCTTTCGTATATTTGGTCTGTGATGTTCAATAACATCATTTTCATGCATCTAAGTCAATATAATCAGTACTCTTACAAAGAAAATAAGGGATTTGGTTCTCTTTGTATGAAACGAGTATTTTACGAGGATATAACACTGGCTGGGCGACATCGAGGCATGTTTTGCTAGAGAAATGTGGAGGCTAATCTAATTATGATGTAATCGATGGTTTCATATCTCATTCATAAGTTATTGTTTTATTGTGTTAGGGTACGTTTAAGCATGTTATTTCAAAATACGTTTATCTTTCTTATAATATCAGCTTATACTTTTTTACATTGATTTAAGATTGTAGACTTATATTTAGTTTAATCTATGAATAGATTTTAGAAAACCCACATGATATCTATATTTAATGTGTCTAATTATATAAAGGTACATTTAGACCTGTATTATAGATGTATGTACTTCGTAGTAGTAAAATGTGTACTTCCTATATATTATTATCTACATACGACTTTGAAATAGAACAGACTTTTAAATATTTTAACGCAATGACAATTAAGTATAGATAGCGCGGAATAATTTGTATACCTAGTGGATTTAAATTTTAAACAGTCCATAATTTCATTACCAAAATACAAAAAAGAGCTACCAGCAATAGAATGCCTCGTAAGACTGGGGGCAAAGGCTAATACTTCCGGTTTCAGCCAGTTAAATGTTGTATAATTGGCTTAATTAAATCGGTCCATATACCCTAGCCGCCTAGCACCGGCTAAATGTTTGGGAGATTGAAATCGGAAAATATCACTGCAGTAAATAAACTCTTTTCACTTGATAAAATACGAATTTAAACAATTGTAAACACAAATCTAATTTATAAACTGTATATCTATATCTAGATTTTTTGGCTATATATAAACATACGTGATTATATGACTCATAGTTATAATGATCATTTAATTTAATTTCAATAATAAAGCATGATATTCTATATCAATACATTTTCATGATGACATTATTGACAGGATTCCCCTCCATGCTATCATTTTCCCTTTTTTTACACATAATATATCAAATGATATACAAGCTGTTAAGCTGAGCCTGCAATTTCGTGAAAATATCACAATGCACATGCTTTTTACATAAAGTTATTAAATACAAATATAACAACATATTTGTTTACTTGATTTTTACGAATCAAAATAAAACTAATTAACACAACATGACATTAACTGCTAATAATAACAGCTCCTTCCATAGGCCAAAATAAAAAGCATTCCATAAGAGACGTCGCTGCTCACCGGTGTCGCCAATGAATCATTATACTTGTATATCGGTTGATAAAAATTACCGCCAATTACTGATTGTCCTTTGAGTCGGGGTCAGTTAGCAGATTTAAATGTTGGCTTTTAAAATCCCAGTTGTGCTCGAGGTCAGTTATACTCAATACCTTTTAATCCATTTATTTAAATGGACCAGCTTATAATTATTATTAAATTACAACTTCTGTTGTTTTCTTTTTTGAATGGTAATAATTATAAATCGTATGAATATTATGAACATCGTTAAATATTAATTTATTATGTTTTCATTCGTGGTGGTGCTTGCTTTCTTTTAAAAAAAATAATTAAATGCATTTATTTTTCAACCAGTTTGTAGGAAAGACATAATTGTGTTTGTCTTAAACGACTGGATGCATTAGTAGATTGATAATTGAACTTAGTGAAAAAAGGTTTCAGTAAAGTTTAAACTTAAAGATTAACCACATAAAATTCAAATAAGCGCGAGAGATTGAAGTTATTTTGACCTATTATTTTTACTTTAGCAATTTGTGCAATGTAATTATGGTCGGTAAACAGTGAGGGTTACACGCCTTGTAACCTGATTATACACCGTGTAAACTTATTTTGACTTTCACCTTTTTACTCACTAAATAGCCTTGGCTGGGCTTAATGTCACTTTAATGGAAAATTATTGCACGATCGGCGTTACTCTCTTCAGGTGATAAACATTCGACATGTTCTAAATATTTTTTATTTTAATATTATAATCAATCACATGTTTGCCTTGAAGTAAAAATTTATTCATTTCGAACTCTTAATGTGTCTTTATCTTAATATTAATCTTACGCAATAGATGTTTATCTATATTTAGTTCATCTTGGGAATTCCCGTGCTATATTTGGAACATACCAAAATAAGTTGAAAATAACAAGTACAATGTATAGGGAGTAAATGAGGATTCCATGTGGTTTCCATAATATTATTGTTTTCTTTAATTTAATGTTAATACTCTTAAAGGTATTCTATCACATCTGTTCAAAATTAAAATCTGAGGTATCGAATCGTGTATAATTACCAATAAAGCATTTAATTGCGAATAACTGCTGAGGAACGTCAAAGAAAAATCACACTGGAGGTTCAAACTAGGATTTTGAAGCAGTTCAATAAAATAGTAGATAGTAGATCTCCTAATAAATCAATTAACAATAGCTCTTTATTTATCATCAAAGTCAAGTAGCTTTTATATGTTTGATTCGCATGGACATGATATTAGTGAATTTCCTCATACCTGTCTAAAATTCAGGTAACAGTCTTCCATTATATTGATAAAAATGTTTCACTATATCATCATGCTATGCAAGTTTATTCATTTTTTTTAATGTACCATTATTTTTGTTAACGCGTATAACAAAAAAAAATGTCTTTTAGAAATTCATCCCAATTTTTTCATTCCAGTGTGTGTTCTACTTTCAGCATTTATCTAAGGCTTGAAATATAACTACTGTATCTTAAGTCCCATTCAGGTATTAATAAAACCTTTTTTTAATTTGACAAGAAAAAAATGCATGTAATATTACTATATCAGTCCCTTTTGTTACTATTTTTATATACTGTTTGTACATTTTTTACAATTATAATAATGAAAAAACAGACTTTGTTTGTTTTGACTACTGTTTTGTATGTTCTAAAGAAATACATTTGATATTCTAATCTCTAGCAAGCCTACCAAAGTTCATGATGAATAATGTCTTCCGTCCGCCTATTCATCTATGATACACAATTCTGGTAAAATCCAATTAACCATTGAGAAGAAAATTTGGTCATCAGATGTCTACCATTTCATCGTCACTTGCTGCATTTCTTGCTTGGACGCCCTTTGATGCTTTGCACCGATGCTTTTCTTCCTATATCATGATATATCATTTGCCTCGGAACATATCACAAACATTTTGAAAAATAAAGTCGATGAAAGTTTTTGTTTTTGCTTATTTACAGATGGATTTTTATATTTCTTACCATGAGTAGGTGTTGATATTTGCAGAAATTAGTATCATTTTAGGTGAAAAAGAAAATATACATGCTTTGATATTTTTTATCATCTAATATAACTGATAATTACTGACTATTACTGACTAAATGACACAAAGGGAACAATGTTGCACTACCGTCACGTCACATTACAAGTCTTGTAAGACTTGTTTGTATTGGAATTACCTTACTTGCCAGATAGGCATCAGTGAAAGCATATTTATTTTTTCAATTTGATATCTGGTCCCTCTTTCATGGACAAACGATTAGTATAATTATGCAAATTTAAATGATTTGCAAAACATCCGGAATAATATACTATAGTACTTAATCTAAAGAGAAAATGACCTGTGTAAATGAATGATTTGGCAAGGTATCTGTAGTGAGCGCATTTTTGCGCGAAGCTTCTCAGTTGCTTCATTGCAGCAACATTTGTGTAACGATGAAATAATTGTTTTATCAGGGTTTCCACTGACCAATTTTAATTTTTTGGCAATGCGGAGGGTTCGGGCAATTTTATGGAGTACTCGTACTCGGACTCCAAATGTATTATAGCATCGTTAGATACCCAGGGTTGATAAGTATGTAATCAAGCGGAAGGTAAAATTAATCGATTTGCGTCGATATACAGCAACAGGTGTGTAAAATATCAACCAATGAAATCGCATTTAACAAAAATCCCACGGCTATTCGGCCGTGGTATCTGACGATGGAAATATAGACTAACTTATATACCACGCTCAATTGTATTCATTATCTTTCGATACAAAGACTGATAGCTCTCCAATTAAAACAATCATAATAGTTAACATGACAAACGTCATGTAAACCGTTTGGTTATTTCATTTTTTTTATACTTTTAGCTGTAGTTCCAATATCAAATTTCAATTTTGTATCATTTTTAATATTTGTTTCTCACAAAATGATACAAATTAAATCTTTACACTAAAGCAAAGTTGATAAAATCATTTGACAATACCAGTCAAAGCTGTATGTATATATACACTATCTTACATTGAAACAGAACTTCTTTGATAAGAGAATGTGGTATAAAAGTTTGAGTTAAAAAGTTTTATTTTAATTTTGGTTTACAAATGGATTAGTCGATAAGATTAGTACATGTAAAGGTTACCCTAAACGATGCTTACACAATGTGAAGATATTCAAAATCTTCATTAAAAATCTATAGAACCTGCTGTACAGATATAATTATGTACTAGCTTTTATAGAATTAGCGTAGATAATAAAGGACATTTACCGAGTATTCCTAAAGGAGATTTTCACTGTAAAATCATATAGATTGCTTAAAAGCATTTCCTTACTTTGGGCATCAAACAATTCCAAGAATTATATAAAATAAACGTATTATTTATTACATTAAAACGGATCTATACAACACATAGATGTACTTGATTGTCACAGAAAAAGCAAAAATCATTTTTAATGTCTAACTTTATTTTGAATTTCACCATTTATAAATCATTTCACACGAAATGCAGTAATTGACAAAACTATAATTGTCGTTTAGCTGACAACATAGACACTGGTATTCTATGCTATGAAATGAGGTTATCTTAGTGTATGGTGACAACAATAAAAACATTATAACAACATTTATTCAAGATACTATACTTTTTGTTGCCGACACTGTTGAGGCTAGCTTAATTGGTGGTGAATAATTCAAGTACTTATCCATGCATTATCATGGACACCAGCAGACACCAAAGTAGAGCCACAGACCTTATGTAAGCTAGGACCCTGACGTGACTCTCACCTACAGCAGTGAAGGGCATGCGATTTAAAGTCTGCAACTTAAACCACTTGGTCATGGAGACCCTTCAACATTATATGAAATTTACTGATTGAAATACATGCTATAAATCATAATCACGTGAGTGTGTATCGTTATAAAACCGCAGAAAAAATTAGGTTCTAAATAATTTATCCCATTTTCTGCACAATTGTTATATTAATTATGACCCTAGTAATAAACAATAAAAAATTAACGTAGGAAATAGATATCAATTTTGAAAGCATTGTTGTAGAATAATGCACGGTTTGAATTAAATGCGTAGGAATATAATCACGAAGACCGATAGGCCTTACTGATTAATTACAAAGCATTTAACGATACACCGTGCACTGTTGTTTTATAATTCAAAGAAAAACTAATATCTATTTCCATTGCCAATAAAAGAGAATTGATAGAAATATGTGAACAACATTGAGCGTAGAAGTAATTTCCCGACGTAAAATTAATAATTACTTCTACTATCTTATCTGACGTCATTTGGCGTGTACGCATTCCTTTTTTATATTTTTGTAATTATACATTTCATTACCCTGTATGTTTTATATAGAGGAATAGTGGGAAGAGTGTTAGAATTTACAAATTTATCACATCTCCTTGCCGTAAAAATGGTATTGCACTGTTGTGTATACATTTTGACCTGACGTCATTTGCGGTATACAGCGTAAAGACGCGCTAAATGTAAGCATTACACTATAAGTGAGACAGTCATTTCAGAAATGTTTGCTGTTTTCAAAAAGAAAAATTATATAAAATCGATCAACATCAAATCATGGTTCAATAAGTAAAATATGTAAGGCAACTTGTCACAAAAAATGCTCACCAAATGTGACAGACTTTAACATTTTCAGTGTAACTGAAGTTTAACTTCTTAACAGAGTCAAATATGAAGGTTTTTACTCTTCTAGATCTCAGTTAATCTTTGTTAACACATATTGGCAATCAGAAAAGATCTTATATATGAAAAATTTATGGAATATATGACAAAAAAGACCATTGTAATGAAAAGAAATAAAACAGAGAAATATTCAAATCTGCAGGTTCAACAAGTTATTTTGTCTTAATAGAAAACAATTGTATAATGAATCTAGAAAAGAAAAAGTTTTACCCTTTTCTCCTATTAAGCTATACACATTCATAAGAAAAACGCTAGAATATATTGCTGTAAAGTACGTTTTCTTGTAGTTGTTAGTATTTCATGTAGGCACAGTAACGAAGTTTAACATTCAGATATTTGAAGTCAAACATTTTATATTTTACCTGAAATAACTTGTCTCTAATCTTTATGAGGCACGTTCAGTAAAAGTCATGCAGTATGATTATAAGCAATATAAAATAACAACAGCCAACACATACAAGCTGGTAAGATGCCTTCCCAGAAACAATGAAAAAGGAATTCATTTTTACCGTTTTGGATATGTGATAAGAAGAATAATATTACTTTTGTGTAGTTTTACTACTTGATTAATTGAACTTGTTGAATGAAATAACATTATGCAAGTCTTTGTTTATTCAATTCATTCAATAAATTCAGAATTAAGCCTTCACTTATTTAATATCCTCTATGTAAAGTCTAGGGGCCTACCAAAAGCAAATCAATAGAAGTTTCAACAATAATGCCTGATTGAAAATATGACAATACTGGAATCACAAACATTGTATTAAATACATGTACTATGAATTTCACATATTCTTCCGATACACATACGTTAGTCACAACTACGAAATTGACAAATGCAAGTAACTTGATTAACAGCGCAAAAATGTCAATTAAAGTTTATTTAGTAGACTTTATCCTTCAATGATCAATTTCTAATTTTAACACCACTTAATTGTTTCTTCATTTCTTTGTTTGTTTGATTTCTGGTTGTTTTGTTTGGGTGTCTATTAAGAGTCATGTGGTGATTTTCCAGCTTGAAACACAGGAATCTCTCTGTTCATTATTTCAGGCACGAGCGGGCACATGAGGAGAGTCACAGATCTGCCGTGAGCTAGCTTGTTGGCTATCTAAAAAGTCATTTAGAAAACGAAAAAACTTTGGCAAAAATGCTAAAAACTTTTGTAGAAATACTGTATCATCTTCGGTTGGCTTTGGATTTGACATGGTTGATATCTTCAATATACGCTCTCTTTCAGAGTCTATGTATAAAGAATATACAGATGGATACGATACAAAAGGAAGTAAACATTTCTCTTTCAACCTTTGACCGATACCATCAATTTCAATACCAAAAAGGAAATGCCAACCGTCTTGGATAATGGTTTGAAGCTTTTTAACTATGAATTCCTTCTCTTTTTGAGACAGTTGTCTAGAAATTAGGTTATCACCACACTCTAAAAAATGAGGACAACTACCACATAATACAAACTGATACAAAACCTTCAAGCAGTTTGATAAACACAACCAAAAGTTATATTCGTGCCATATTTCAAGGTTTGAATTTTCTATGCAATATAATAAAACTGCTTTGCAAACAACACTAGAACTTTGTACACGAAACAGTGAATGTAAGTATGACTTAATGATTATTTTCATTACGACCAAACACCTGATTTGTACTATATTAAGATTAAACATCAGGTATCTCTCTGCAAATGCGTGGTATATTTTCCATTCAAAGTTTACATTTTCTGTTAGTGCCATAGGAGAAGGCACAAGAAAATATTCTTTGTCATGTACATATTTGTTCATTTCTGGTTTTAGAAAAGTATTACAACCAATCTTGACCCGCGTTTCATAACAGGGTATACAAACGTTAATATTGCAAGGAGGTGTATGGACATAATTTGCGCAAATATTTAACATTCCTTGTTGCAACAAATAGTGGCCTGGAGGCATATTTTCTTTTTGTACAAGCATAGCATGTGATGCTTCATGTTTAGTTTGATCGCAAGACGGATTCAAACATATGCAATCCCTTAGCGTGTATACATCTAAGCCTGAATCTAATCCAGAAGTTGTTGTACCTTCTGATTGACTCCCAAGGAAATAAATCATTCCGTATGTCTTTCCTGAATTATTTCTAATTGATTCATACAATACTGCGGCTTTCCTTCTCTTCATAACGTTTTCTTCATTAACACCAATATCATCTAATACATCTGATAATGCCGAAGAAAACAGCGTTGCATCTTTCAATCTGAAAGCGAAAAAACACACCAAAAAACAGTGCAGTCACTGATTCAAGTTTTTATTTCAGTATTTCGTTGTTTGTGTAGCTCAATCAATAAAGAAGTATCTGTTAATAAGCTTAAAACAAGACATAGACAATACCCGAACTTCCAGACATTCAATTTCTCCGAAAAAAGTTTTGTGCACGTTTAATTTATCGCACCAATTAAAGCATATTTTAGCAAATGTAAACCTTTGTGCTTCTTTTTTTTCGTCAAATGCAATGGACATCAAATACTAGTAACTGCATGTTTACATGCACACGTCATATTGGCAGATTGGTCAGTGTTTTCATTGACTGAATCGTCCGCTGGGATTGTTGGTATTTGCGATTCATTTCAGTGTAATAACAATACACATGCAAATACAGAGGGTAACCTATTTAGCTTTTGAATTTACGAAAATGAAAAAATATTTCATTGACCTACCTACCCTACCAAAACTGGCATGTGTCGCGGGAGGGGAGACAAAGATAATTTTAAAGCTTGCCTAGAGACACACTTACCTACATGTAGATACTTTGTCTAGATTTTCTTCCGATGTAACTGTTTTAGATTCATCATGTCTTGTATGAGTGTCTTTCGATTCTGAAAGATAAAAAACATCTTTTCATATATTGTACGTGATAAGTAATAGATTGAATCAATATTAAAGTAAGAATATTTAGTAAGAGGTATTTCCAAAACTTCAGTAATTTGTCGATAGATAGTTTAGTTACATAAAGAAGCTTATACACAATGTTATTAAATTGAAAACTAGTGTGTTGGTAATAAAATCGTGAACTTATCAATAGATATTTATAACCGCCATTTAATTCACTGCTTAACATGCATGATTAAAGTATTTATAACTAAAACATTCTTTTCAGCGACGTGACAAGTATTTCGCAAAAGTTAGACACTTTATCAAAAGTTATTATCGAACGATTATTTTATACCAAATATACTGCACTTAATACTGACCAATGTTTTGCAGGGACTGTTTTAACTTTTTCAAATTGATAGAGGACGTAATCTCTATATTACCACCAACTATTGTTGACAGAATTCTAGAAATGTTTAGAAGATGGTGATTTATATCCCCCTCCTGGAATAATTTCCATACATGTTCAATACTTCTTATATTTCTACTACGGACGGGCAGAGTAACAGTCCTGTTTCTTGGTTCACAAGTCCCTGTCGTTATCTGAGTTTGCACTGAAATGTTGGAATCAATAAAATCATGTTAAATCTATCTAAATAGACAACAAACACTTTGTATTCTTTAATCTTAAGGTTTTTTGTATTTAAAGTGTTATTTGTTTCTTTTTTACCTAGCTTGAAATTGACTATTGAAAGTGCTATTCATCTTAAAAGCACATTATGCCCAGAAACAAATGAATGTTTACTTTTTTAGAAAGACCAAAAATGAATTTTCTAATGTTGAAATAATATGATTTTAGAGAATGTAAGATGTTTGTTACCTGAGAAAAGTAGCAAGAAATAATTTGACATAATAGTAGAAACATGTAAGTATTTTGACTTCCATACAAAATACGAATTTACTATCACTGGATTTAACGCCAAAAGGCAACAGATGAAAAAAGATGGTTCGGGTTATAAGCCAAAAGCTTTTCGGATACTATAAATGTACATCTAAATAAAAAGGCTTTTGAGAAATAAAAATAAAGCATTTCTACGGCATAATAAGCCTTTTAGATAAACAAGCAGTGTGACACTTGTCAGTATATTAAGCTTTATTAATGAAAAATCTATCAGCTTTTCAAAATAATTTATTCCGCATCTACCTTTATTATAATATTTACAAATTACTATATTATAGCGAACACGGGGCCTGCTGTTAAACTGACATGATCGTACTAAAAATATTTTTTTCTTAACATTTTCTTTATTGAGCGAACTAATGTTCTACTTAAACAATCCTTGTATGGCAGTAAAGGGAAAGTCAATATTTGTTTTATTTCAAAAACACTAAGCTCTACCACAGCAAAATACACTTACTTAGATTTTTCTTGATTCGCTGCAAACTATGAGCTGAAACCACCACTGTAAGAAATACTGATATTTCTGTCTGTTTTCTCAAGGCGGTTGTTATGTCTTGAATGCGCTGATCGAATGCCTTACTCTCTAGATATTCTAGAAGTCCAAGAAGACCTGTGTATGATTTACACCTTACCACAAATCGGATACAACATTTTTCTGCAGGGAGAATTGTAGTGCCCGATTGCTTAAGTACATCTATCATCAGTTCCATTACGGCAAGTGTCAATTCCTCTTCATTTGGATATTGTTCCTTTGTCTGAAGATATCTTTGCACGCGTTTTCGTACATGTTCCTCATTAATTGCTTTAGGTTCAGGTGCGCTATTGATTTCTCGAAGAAGTTCGTTTATTTTCTGAACAAGCATATCCTCAGCAGAAGAAGCAGTTTCATCATTTTTGCTTTGGACATGTAATTCTGTTTCAACATCTTAAGAAAGAAATAAAAGTAGAATTCATGAAATTAATATTTCAGCTATAGACAGTTTTACATGTGTGATTGTTTCAGAAAAGTTAATCTGATTGAAAGGCAAAAGTAGAACATGTACAAGTAATTAAAATGTAAATCTGAGAAATTTTTAAAAAAGGATATTCACTTGTTAATATATTACCTTCTTGAATATCTGTATTGCCATTAGTACTTGCTTCAGTTTCTCTTTTCAGCAACTCTAAAAATCAGGTTTCAGGATAAAAATACCATTCTATAATGAATACTGATACTCAATATTTTAAGTGAAATGTTTTCTTGATAAAATAATTATGATATTTTTTTTTCTTTTATTGCATCGTTAGTGTTAACATGGTTTAACATGTTAACACGCTGTAATTGTAATTGGTTGTCTGAGAATTATTATTATATTTTATTTATCTAAAGTTATTCTATCAAACCAGGTGTTTTTTGTTTGTTTTTTTTGACAAATACAATTTTCTGCTAACAAGTAGCAAGAGGTATATTAATACGAGGTCCAGTGGAAAAAAATCTCCAAAAAATCCAAATCCCTTTTTTTGTGTATTTAAAATTTTCTTTAACTCGCAGGAGTATTGTATAGTTAAATACAAGAGAATTGTTTTATTACAAGGACAAAATGAGAACAAATAAACAAGATTAATTGATTAGTGTTAAGTTTTTGTTAAAATTTGCTTTTACTTAAAATATGCAAACAATTGTATTGATAAATATTATTATTGGTTTAGTTTTCACTTTAATGGTGGTATGTGAAACCCTTAGTCATTTAAATCAAAATTTAAATTGTCTAATATTAACTAAATAAACCAGTGTAAACTTGTAATGTAGCTCATTTTCTTCAATCATCATTTAGTTTTTAAAAAAATATCATGCACTAGTCTTTCACAAATTAATAGATAAAATAATGACATTTTTTAATAATCTGCTTTAAAGCATGAGTATTAAATTGTTACCCTTTACATCCTTTAGCATTTGTATTATTTCATGTTGTCCCTTGTCCGATTTGCAGAAATAACGCTGGCTCTCTTCGGCCAATTCCCTTTGTTGCACATTCGTAACTAAGCGCATGCAATATAAGAAAAACAATCCATTTTACAACTGTTTCTTTGAATTTATTTAAGCTCGTTTTAACAAACATGTATCGAGTTCTCATCATATATACACATTGTATAAAGTAGCAATTTCACAAGAGGCTGTGTAAGTATATTTTGATATATAGGGACATGTTTCAAATATCGTTAAAAGTATATTACCAATCAATTTTAACTTGCTTCAATCGCCATTCACCTAAAAACATGATTAAAATGGACTGAGCTTTCATGTACATAAAGTAATGCCATTTTTTAATAATCCGCTTAAAAACATGAGCAAAAAAATCTTACCTTCTACTTTTTGTCTTATTTCGTCTTGTCCATTTTCCATTTTGCACATACGACGAAGGTTCTCTTCAGCCAATTCTTTTTGTTGCACAGTCGTACCTAGACGCACGCAATATAAGAAATACAATCAATTTTATAATTGTTTCGTTTGATACCTTAAGTCTATTTTAAGTGAGTATATTTTGATATATAGGGGCATGTTCCAGTTATCTTTAAAATAATATTACCTATCAATTTGAACTTATATGATTAAGAATAAGTAAATTAAGACGTTCCTTTTTTGACATCATCATTTTGTCACACATAAAATATTATGACACAAAAAGTCTACTATTTTCACAAAATTATGTTGTTATTTTAGAAAATTTAGATGAATAACATATTTATTTTAACCTTGTATCTTCTTGATTTCTTTGCATATGTCATCTAATTTGATACTGTTGGCCACAAAGTCAGCTTTAATTACTGTCAAGAGTTCGGTTTGAAATTCTTTGAAGTCCTCCAATGTTGAAGATAATTCTATAGGCCCAGACTTGGTTGATTTAATTAACTTTTGACATTCGTCATGGTATTGGCGATCAATTTTTGACGAGAACTTTAGAAGAACGATTATCAGATCACTTCTATATTCATTATATTCATCTTCAGATAATGCAAGTGATGCACTGTGTCCTTGAATTTCATTTCTAAAATCGCGAAGAATCTTTATATCATTTCGTTCTTTAGAAGTAAGGCTGCTTCTAAATATATTCAGAATTACTAAACACAATAGTGATGTATCCCAGTTATGTAGGTCATCATTGACAGATCCTGCTGATGGAAATATGCGTTCGTATTGACTGTCATTCCGTATTAGATGCCGAAGTTTGCCACTATTGTCCGACAGAATTTGTGATAATGGTTTTCCAACGTTTTGGGCTTCACGTTTTAAAATCCCTTTCAACACCAATGGTCCTCCTTTTCCCAACAACAGAATATACCTCAAATACCTTTCGTTGTCTGAAGTTGCCATAGCTTCAGCTAGAAAATAAACAAATTTTCGTATTTATTTATTTATTTATTTACAATGAAAATAAAGATCAACATTTATATATTACTGACTTCAAATGCGATACTACATTCTTGAATTCATGCTCTCATTGTTAGCCAACAACAAAATTACATTCTAGTCATACATGTATACATTAATGTGTATTTTAAAACAGTATTAATTAGTTTTCAGTTTTAATAATCGTTTCCGTTTCTTCAAGGAGTTGTAACGTATAATATCAATGTCATTAATTTTTAATAAACATCAATAGTTTACGTGAACAGAAAATAAAAGTCCAGAACAAAACATTACGTTAATTTTATCTTAAGACGGTGCTAGGGGATTTACATGATATATATAGCTTACATACCACTACGGCCCGATCAAACTGAGTCTGCAGCACTTTCAATTTTGTTGTTTTGGGCGTTCTTAGGACTCTGTTTTACAAGTATAAAGTATCTTTTAACTACTTTTATTAAAGGTATTTGAATCTAGAAATATGACATAACGAACACAAAGAAATTGCATTTTTGCACACACGTAGTTCTACGATGTAGGAATCATTGCTATTTGTGTTCAAGGTATATACGGTATCGTATGCAAAGTGTTTAAGCGTATCAAAATTAGTGAAACATTGTTGCATTATTACAAAATTTTGATGAAATTTTGAAAAATTTAGGTCTTATTTCCTTTCACTTCATGTTAAACTTTATGAATACGTTAATCGTATGAAAAATGTAAGCATTGTTAAAATCTATTAACTAAGTTGCAAACAATTGATTTAAGAAAATTTCACACCTAAACAAAACAAGTTGTCAATCCTTTAACTTATACAAGATGATCAAAAAGTTCTCGGCCCGATATTCTTCTAGCCACTACATTGACATTTACACACGATACGTCGATACCGATATCTTATTGAAGATTAATGACCGAGTTACACGCGGTTTTACACAGATAAAGTAACAGAATAACACACTTTAATCAGTAGAGGGGTGTGTCAATTAGACCAAATTGAAAACTTGAAATCAGAGTCCTCATTTAGTACCTCTGTAAGAAAGGGATGTCCCCCAAGCAAGTCCATGAAGACTTGGGAACGAGTCCCCTTCCTATAGCACTGTGAAAAAAATGGGCTGCTGAATTTAAGAGGGGCGGCAAGGACAGCATTGGAGATGATTAACGGCCTGGGCGGCCAAATTCGGCCACCAACTATGCAACTGCCTAAGCTGTGCACGATCTGGTAATGTGCGACAGAAGGCGAGACCTGCGAAGCATTTCTAGGAAAGTTGGTAAAAGCTTTGGTTCAGTTCAAGCAATTCTGACTGATGTCTATGGCTTGTCAAAGGTTTCCGCTTGATGGGTCCTAAGACAGTTGACTGACGACCAGAAACGGACCAGACTTAACATTTAAAGGTATCTTTTCTCTCGCTACGAGGATGAACCTGGTTTCATCTACCGGATCGTAACATGTGTCCATCACTTCGATCCAGAATAAAAAAGCATGCAGTTGAAGCACCCTGGCTCACCCCTCCGGTGAAATTCAAGAGGGTGCCATCAGCAGGGAAGATGATGGCTTCAACTTTTGGGATAGTCAGGGGATAATCATGATATTAAGCAAGGCCGTACCATAAACGGTACGTACTATATAGACGAATTGAGATGTCTGTGTCAAGAAATCGCGCATAAAAGGAAGTGCACACTGACTCAATGCGTTCTTCTCCGGCACAACAATGCGCCAGCTCACACATCCCAAGTTGCGATAGCTGCTGCAACTGACTGCGGCTTTGAAATTCTTCCCAATCCCCTATATTCTCCGGACTTGGTCCCCTCTGCCTACTCCTGTGTCCCAAACTGAAAACAAGCTTCGTGGTAGACGTTTTGGAAGCAATGAGTGTCATGGAGGCGGTCAATGAGTTCTTTGAGGACCAAAATAGAGAGTTCTATTTTGAAGGGTGCACAGGTGGGCAGATTGCATTGATGTAGAGGGCGATTCTATTGAAAGTAAGATCATTAGTTGGGTTCTATTACTACCGAAAATAACTTCGGGTCGAGAACTTTTTTATCAATCCTCGTAATTTCTAGTATCTGACAACTAACGTTTATGATAAAATTATTACAATGTGATATCACGGACTTCAGATAATACTAATGCTATCATTAACAGTGAATCATGCCCCAACCCGCCAGCTTAACCTGTTAACTTTTGACAAAAGAAGCGGTATAAAGCAAAATATTTACTCGACCTACATTGTATGATGTTTCATTTGTGTAACAAAGTTTATTGAGTTTAATTGCCTTGTTAAACAGTTATTATCATCTGTTAACCATAATCTATATGCTTAAGTTACAGTGCCGATGACCCCAGGGGTCCAAAAGCAATCCCGACTTGGGTCTTCATATATATAAAATACGATGAACAAGATCAAAAAGGAAAGGCGGCGTTCAAAGAACGCAACAATCACACGATCCAGCAAGAAGTACCAGTGGCAAAGAGTCCAGGAGGACCCCGAACAAAAACAGGACAGGGCGCAAGGAAGATCACAGGCATGCTTATCACTAAAGTGGTACATAAAAAGAAAAAATTGTAACCGACAAGAAAATCGAAAAAAACAAAATAAATGATTTTGATTTATGGGCCCACAATGTAAAAGGTCATTGGGAAGGGGAAGGAGATTTGGTGAAGGGTGGAGGCAAAAAAACAAATAAATAAAAATAGGGGCAAAAGTATAGATACTTACTGTTGACGAGAAAGAAAACAACAAGGGACACAAACAATAGTGTCACCAAAATAGTATGTTCTGATGAATACACAGGGGCGGCGCCTTGAAACGGTCAGCAGCATACGTACTGCTGGGGAGTTTACATCGCTTAATGGTGCACCAAACCTTGCTATAAACATGTACCATGTTTGATCCTTAACTCCAGTTATTGTTCGGAAACCATTTTTCTATTTTAGTAGGCTGAAACCAGGGAGTTCAAACGCAATCCCAACCTAGGTCTTCATATAAGTTTGCTTTATACCAAGTTTGATCACAATATCTCATTCCTATCTCTAGTTATTATCCGAAAAACATTTTTTCTTGCATAGCAGACTGGCGTTTCCGTGAGTTTCACAAAAGCCAGAAATTTTATCTGGCATTGGGGGTGCCAGATGAGTCGCGCGCCAAACAACAACGTAATTTTAGCGCACTTTATGAATGATCCGCGTTTAAATGACGTCGTTTTAGAAGGGAAATATGTGCTTAGGATGACGTCATTTCGCCGTTGTTATTTAAGTTCATAAGCAATTGTGAAAAAGTAGTTAGAGATGAAATTACTTTAATTTCCATGAACATAATTATATCCTATTGAAGTAATCCCTTTTGAATATGAAATAATATGGCAGAATATGCAAGAAAAAATATCTGACATATTTTTGCGGTTTGTATCGGAATATCCGTCTCTCGGGACTCGCCCATGGGTGGGTTGCCTCAGGACGGATATTCCGGTCCGAACCACAACATATGACAGGTATTATTATTCTTTTTTTAGTAACAGTGACCTTATACCAAGGGGGTCTAAAGTAATCACAAAAGATGGCTATTTAGAAATTTTGATTCGAATAACTCGTTTCAAACTCTAATTATCGTCCGGAATCAATAAGATGGGCCGACCGACAGACATAATGACGCCTTTATACCATAAATACCCCCTTCACTCCGTTTGTGGAGTGGGGTGGGATATAAAAATAGGGGAAAAAACAATCAACTACATATCCTTTTTATTAATATACTGACGTAACACCAAGCATTAATATATCAAAGAGGAAAATAGCTCGGTGGTAAAAATACATGTTGATGTTATCTTGACATTGTTGAAGTTGTGACATGTAACATAAGCTACAATCAATGCTGGTGTAAAGTTTTATCGCATATTTTATCATTGCGGGATAAAAAATGATGATAGACGTTATAGCGATAAAGTTTAAATCTAACCAAGCAATGTTTTGGCTAGGTGAGCAAAGAATATTGAAACAAGTATACAATCACAAATATGTTGGTAGGCCAAGGCGTTCGAAAGCATTTGCCAAACAATGTTTTGTGGTCAAAGTCGCGGTCACCTTAATCTTTGACGAGATTACCTCAAAATCCGAAGGGATCAGCTGTTACTCATGATCAACATTTACGCCGAATCCAAGGACATAACAATTGTCCGTTGTTGCTGGTCGGACGTAGTCTCATCTACAGACCGACGAAACGCTGTGTAGTGAAAAGGGCATCAAACTTGTATATGGTTCACCCTTAAAGTCTAAATAAGATTATTTTCGTTTTGAAAAATAAACAGTATAAGTATATATGATATTTCTATCGTGCATATTAGTGATTTTAGGCAGATCAATTTTCACTGGTACACATTCTTGAAATTTGAACACAAACGTTGTGATTACGTAAAGATGATAAGTGTTTGTCAGAGAATACATGTAAAGATATGTTTCTTCCTCGTTTATTTCCATGCAGTTTCTTAGTTTCAGGTGTTTCCCATCGATTTTGTCAGTTCTTTAAAATTCGAAATAGCCCTTATACAAAGTCGCGTAATTAACTGTAATGATTGTCATTCAGCTGTCTGAATCTTAACGTATATGTTCTTAATATAGAAGTATTTAAAAAACAACAAATTATAGTTTTGTTTTCTTTTACACACGATTTATTGAAGCGTTTGTCATCTAGAGTTTATAAAAGGGTTGCTATTTTCCGAAAACGCTACTTGCAAATATACGTGTAATAACATGTTTAAAAACGCCATTTTTGTTTAACCTTGATATTGATATAATCAAAATCACAATTATGTCAAAATTTTGGATATAATCTCGACAATATAGTCAACTTATTTATTCACCAAAACATATTTTAACAAAATTGATTAATCATTAGTGACCTAGACAGTGAGTTACAATAAATATGTATCGAAACCTTACTTTAAAATATTATGATATTTTCAATCCGTACACTTTTTAAATCAGGTCGTTTCGAAAACAAAATCATAATGTAGAGATCAGGTACAATTACCATGTAACACAATGAAACAAAATCAAAAAAGAAGCTTAGGTTTACCTCTTAATTCCTCATAAATAGAGTAATCTTGCAGATTCAACTAACTTAAGTCATCTTACTTAAAAAGAGAAACATCGGCTTCCATTTTGTGTTATATGTTATCATGAAGTAACGATCATTTGCGCAGACTAGTCGGAAAGCCTCGTCGATTACGCATATTATATCAATAGCAGTGTAGAAAATTGCCGAACATTCAAGATAGTATTACAAATATGTATTTGATTACCTCATGTCATTATTCAAATTTACCAAAGATTGACGAAGGGCGGCAATGGAGGACATGCCAAATAACTGAGACAACAGACAAAAACAAGAGATCAACGAAGATCCTTGTTCGGTCTTTTGAACAAGAATGTCATTGTTTATGTCACGTTATATCAAAATTAGCCATTTTGAAGTTAAATATGTGGTATAATGGAGTAAATTAACGCAAAATTTAAACTTTTACATTTTAACTTCTACAAGTGTACAACGTCTTACTTAGTCAAAACCGAACTCCAGACTACAGCAGGCTTTTAGATCAGTATATATATGACACTTACTCACATAAAAATGTCATCAGATTATGTTACAGAATAAGTTATAATGAGTAACTATTTATCATATCCGACATTTATCCAGTACAATCTAAGGTTATTTCGCATATTGTAAAACAAGGGGTATAATATAAATAAATCATGTCATATTTTAAGTTCACATTGTGAAATAAATGCATTAATTTGGTAAAACTGTGTTCGTCATTCATTTGAATTATATAGAATATGTATGACTAATTAACCTTTAAAGTGTGCAATGCAACAAAAACTTTTCGATATTGCATACATCAACATCTATTTTATTTATAAGATTGGATCGAATTAATACATTTCCATACTGTAGAGTACAACCCAAGATCATTTCTGTTATTTATCATTGTAAATCTATGCTGCAGTTGAGAAAATGCCATTATAATTTAAAGTTGTTGTTGTGTTTACATTTTAGCGGCTTTTTGCAGACTTGAAGGGTTTTGCTATCTTTGTAAAGGACTACACAGGGCAATATGACTACCATGCCTATGATACAAACTAAAAAGTAAGGAATACCATACAGCACATATATAGCAGTCAGTTAAACAAATGGTAAATAGCATGCTCTAGACCAATCATATATTTTAGATGAGTCCGACGCACTAATCGCTAAATTTATACGAATATATAATATAATCACTTAGGTAGTCAATTAAGGGTCAATAATTAATACATGCTGATTTTGTTGACAACAAGGTCCTTTATGTGTCATATGAACCAGAAATTGATAACACGAATATAATTAACAAGTATACATTCGCCGCTCAATAGCAAATATTTACTATGTAAACGTAATCTTAAATCATTCAAAATCTTACGTCCTCAACAGTAGCACATTTACTTCAGGCAAGATGTAGATAAGTAATGTCAAGAAATATATTGAGTCATTCTTAAGTATTATTTATCTAATTGTCACTATTATCAAATTAAATTTATAGCAATAATTAGATTTTTTATTAATTTCTGAAGTCTTCCAGATAATATATAAAAAGTCACTTAAATGAGTTCAACTTAGTGACTCAACAGACCCATTTTTCTTCCAAGTCATCAAAGTTAACTTAATACCCTTTTGCCTTTTAATTCATTCCCGTATCGGCCCGTTTTAAATGTTTTAGTTCTTATCATTTCACTTATTAAATGTCTCTCCCCCTCCTTTCACCGCCCTTGTGTCCTTTTCCGTTTTCTGTTCGGTGCCTTCTGGGTGCCCTGCTGGTGTGACTTGATTTTGTCTGTAACGTTAATCTTTGTTCTCATTTTTTAATTGTACATTACAATGAGCTGATGCTTATTTCCTTAATAATTCATCGTTGTCTAAATCTAGAGCAGTTTCAACGCATGATAGTGTATGGGAGTGTATAAGGATACCAACGAAAACTTTATAAAAGAAGAGATTTAAGGAGTGAATGGGGATCCCATTATAATATTTACATGTATAATATTTTAAGGCAGATCGAAAAGCAACCTTTTATATATTTTACGTACAAATGTATTCAATTTCTACATTACCTTAATCTTGTATAACTGTTTTTTAACATAATAAACATTGGTAAAAGATAGTTGTTTCTATCAGAATCTGTTTTGATTTATTGAATATTGAATTCTTGTGAAGCAAATCAAAGATTGCCTGTTCCCATATCACGCATATTCTATCAGTATTTTAGTAATGTGTTTTTGAGTTGTTATTATTATTATTATTATTATTATTCTAAAGTTACAATCTCATTTTCTTCATAAAATTGACACACTGTTTACGATCAGTCCAAAACAAGATAGCATGTAATTTTGTTGTAAATAAAATTACTTTAAAAGTTTAAACTTGTTCTAATTTTGAACTACTTAGTTTGGTACATACAATCACTTAAATGGCAAATAGGACAGTAGAGTTATATCAAACAAATCCATGATCGATATAATAAAACTAATACAGGTAAATTAGTTTATGTGCGTGAATACTATATACATGCTATCTAAAATATTTGGAATACCAATTGCGCATTGCTATTTTAATAGCACCTATTTTTAGAAACTATCGGAGATTTTCCTGATTTTAAAATTAACTTCACTCATTTGATACTTTTCATTACTAGCATCAACACTATAAGGTAAGTTTGAATTGAATGAAAATTGATAATTTGGTGTGAATAAAATATCCGTTGAAATATGTAAAACAGAAATAATACTCTTTTATCCAATATGTAAATTATTCAAGTGTACATAATGCAAAATTGTTAATTGTTGACAGTTATTTACGGTCAATTTATCAAATTTAAAACAAAAATAAAAACAACGAAATTTCTACCTGTATATTCTGCTAGATAAAATGATTGTATAATGTTAACATGATACAACCAGCTATAGAATGAATTTTAATCAAAACGAGTACATGTATACAGGTACGCAGAAAATATTAACTTTAATTAATCCGTTTTCATACAATTCAATAAACATCGGTTTTCAATATCTAATCTAAATTTGTAGCTTTACAAATTGACGATTTATGAAATAACTATAAAAATAAAGATGCATGTTGAAATGCATAATGTGTACATTCCTTGTTCTTAAGTTTAAAACAAACTGTAAAATAATCGTGTACTAAGATGAAGACTTCCTGCTATTATTGTATGTCCTAACATTAAAATCTATAAAAACAGTTCGGCATTGTTTGTGTTCAACTGCACAGTGCTTCTGTATTTTTTCAGTTCAGCGATGACTGGCGGAGACGGAATATCCAACTGTGATACTTTGTGTAATCCGGACAATCATTATGAGTGGTCCTGCAAAACATATTGCCCAGGTAAAATTTTCAATCACAACTATAAACTTTTATTTATCTTCCGGTTTTCATTTAAGTTCTGAAGTTTAAATTTTTTATCTTAAAGTTTACATTTTTATCTTTATAGATCTTTAAAAATAGACTATTTATGCAAAGTGGATTCATGTAAACGGTAATCGTATTTACTACCGAATACTATATGTACAAGTTTACAAAGTTTAAATATATTGGCGAATTCACAAATACCTTTAGTATTAACATAGTTATGTTCTTTTCTTAAAGATTATAGCTTCAGCCCTGCTGTATCTACCTCTACTATTATACCAACTATTTCCGGAGAAGCTACATTGCAATCTGATCTAACCGTAGTATTGCTGGTCGCATTTGGTGCCTTATTTGCAACGGCGTTTATAATTGTGGCCATTTATATAATTCGTAAACAAAGACGAAATCACAAATTCTGCCCTATTATATATAACGAACAACTTCCTATACCTGTTCAAGAGACAGCAATACGGTATGAAAATGAGTTAAATGAAATAAAAGAAGAAATGCAATCTTTATCAGAAAACAAGGATGATCAGGTTGTTGGAACCAACAGTCATGTTGATACCATACCACCAGAGACAACTAATCCGGGTGACACCGTTCCACTTTTAGATTATAATTCACCTAGTGCCAATTCATTGAGTAACACATCTGATGGCGTTGAAGCCTCCAGGTTAGCAAATTGCAACGGGTTGAACAATTTCAACGAGCAACGCGGTAATCATGCTGCAGTTTGTTGCAGATCTTGTATAGAAATGAACGAAACATTCGGAAACCAAAGGCAAATTCCTCAAACTGAAAATGTAGGGTCTAGGATTAGTGATGCTGGTTCCGAAACTGATTTAAGTGATGACAGTATTACTGTACAAAATGATTCAAGCGATGAAGAAAGCAATGACAGTGGTGCTGCAAGACCTAAACGTGTAGTACGCGTCGTTACTGAAATTGAAGTTTAAAGCGACATTATGCTGAGTGTTTCACTGTCAAGCTGAGATAAATTAGTTGTACATTTCAACAGATTGACTATTATGATGGCGGTTGAACAAAATTGATAATGCCAACTGTTTAAGATAAAGTATATAAACTTCCTAAAATATAAAAGACTGCGCCATTCTTTTAAAACTTAACATTACCGATAATTTCGTAAAGATATTTAATTTTTTGTGGGTAACGGGGTTATTGACTATACAGGGGACGTTTATCATAAAATTGAAATCAATATGAAAAAATACAAAATGTATAAAGTTATTTAGAATTCACCTGAACACTCAGCATTTACTCTTGGATGGGCATAATGTCACCGAAATAGAATTTTGATTTAAAATTTCAATTTAAAACAGTTTACAGTTGTAGTATGATTTTTTTGTTTTTAATGTTGAATGGACATACGTCAGAATGTGATTTTGTTTCAAATTTTAGCTCACCAATGTCTTTCTATATATTATAATTGTGCTCAAAAATGTTATTTTTATCGATCTATTGTTCAAGAGATTTTATGTTCAAGTTTGTTGTTAAACATATATATAAGTAGCTGATCGTTATTGTTTTCAGTAATGATCGGTTAACTATAATACAAATATATATAAATTTGTGTAAAGCCATAATTGTATTTAAAGTCAAATTGCACTCGTTGGCAAGATATCATTAATATTTAACAGCCGTTTTCTTCAGACTGAAGCTGTTCATGTATTTTCTGAAACATATAGGCTTTTTGCAGTGATAAAAAGTGCGTACGATAAGGTTAATTGTTATAATTGATTCATTATTTAATTTCTTGAACGCTTTCATCTAGACTGTAATAATGACATCGAGTTTTGTAATATTTTTGTCATCATAGAATTCTTATTCATAGGGCATTTGAATGTTGTATATAATATCCACAAACATTATTTGTTTTACTGATTTATTTCATGTTAATTCTGGCATGTTGGCCAAAATCCTAAATATTTGAAAGTGATACAAAATCGAACCCAACGGTCCTTTGTCGATCCGATGTGGTTCGGTTTAATTAAACTGTTGTGTTTTGTTTGTTCTTTCTAACAATAAAACAAATTAAAATTAATTATCTGTTTTAATTTATATTGTCCCTTGTCTAAATATAAATCCAAAAAGTTAATAATATATAATGTAGATGTAAAGCATAAAGGCTATAATGTAGCGTATGACCCATCGAGTATGTTCTTAGAAACGATGCCTCTGTCATTATCCAGAAAGCAATTAGGTATATTGTTAGTAAATAAACACACTTGAATACAGTATATGTCCAAATTCAGAAAAGAAATAGGTATATTATTAGTTGATCAATACATTTAAAACCACGGTACACGTGAGGTTATAAAAATTAAAGGGTGAGACGACACTTAAACGAATATTTCTATTACTAACATAAATGACCAGTTTTAACGTAACCGTAATTCAGGCAAGTTACGAAAGCATTGAAGACAAAGGGTAAATACTTAAAAATTGAAAAATTGGATGTAACTGTAATTAAACATGAGGTGAACCTCCATACAGGCTTATGCATATACATGTTTGGCTTACTATGTTATCGTTTGCGATAATTTGTGAAATACAATGTGTGAAATACCATAGATGCGTTGATATTAAGTTCTTCATATAAAAATATCTGGTTTATATAATATTTTCGCAACGGTAATTATAATATTTTCGCAACACCAAATTATATTAGTTAAATCTAGACGACTACACGTAACAGTGTCAAAATCATTGAATCATAAAATGATATGTATATATTTTTATATAATCATGAAATCCTATTATAAATCCAAGAAATGTACATATTTAAATTTTAAGGAATCCCTTGAATGAACTTTTGAATGTTCCGATTTAGTAACATTTATGAAAACCAGGTCTTTAAATAGATTTTATTGCGTTGTCTCCAAACTCACATTAATTCAGGACTGTTATACGATAGAGCGATATCAAGGTATTGTTTCTTTATTTTAAATCTTTTTGAGTTTACTTATGCATTGGATCAACAATTTTCATACGTAACATAAAATTTATTCAATATATTTATATACGGTTAAATCATTTATAAACGAAATTCAGTTTTTCACTTTCACGAGTATCACGAGTCAATGATAACGAAAAAATGTACTATTTTCAAACGTCTCTCTAACAAAGTATATCAAAACAAATGCTAAGAAATTCGAATTTTAATTTCAGAATTTTGCTTCGTTCGAAATAAAATGGCGCCGGTATATGGCAGGAATGGATTTTCTGACTGTAAGGTGATTTGTGATCCGAAGAATGGATACTCTCACCAGTCGTGTGTTGATGAATGTCAAGGTAAGCCTAAATTTAGATAATCTAGAAATTCAAGTCAAGTCATTGAAGTTTATCAAAATTGGTTCAATCTTTGTACTGTACAGCATGATTAAAATAGCCTGAATAACATTTTTAGTCCTTAAACATTCTTTAAGATAATCTTGAAATTATACTTTAAAATGATAAACATACGTGGGCTTTAAATGTCATAATTCTAACTGAACGTTTATGTACATGTAAATTTCGTTACGAAGACATTTGCAACTGATATAAAAACTGCCCTCGCAAATATAGATTAGTTTACAGCATGACATTGAAAATAGGTATTGATATAAATAGATGTAGAAAACCTACATGAGACTAAATATATAGGTATTGGAAATCCATAAGTCTTATTTATATTTGCTATATATCATAAACTATTTAGGGTATGTTATGAAGTTAATTGTTCAAGGTTGAATTATTTTCTTATTCATTCATATATTTGTTGGTATTGCTCTTCAGTTATCTATCTTTTTTCTTACTTATCTATTTATTTATTTTAATTGATAAAGTCTGCCTCTTGTAAAATGTATATTGTACGTTTGTCTTTCGACAAACTTGGAAACTTAAGGTTGAGGTGACGCATGATAAGCGTAGCTTTAATGAAATATTGTATTTGAAAATACTTTACTTACACACATTTTTCACACAATCAGATAAAACATAGACGTTTCCTTGTTCTGTAAGAGTTTCTGTTCTTATCTACTTTACAGGGATATACAACTTTACCACCAAAGCTATCAACAGTATTCCTTTGCCAACTCCAGCTATTAACAGCGTCACAATTGCAAACTATACAAACATTCCACCCAATACCAACAGCGAAGATAGTATCACTGGATTGTATTATTTATTATCTATTCTAATATTTCTCACTATTATTTTGATACTTGTTATTTGCTTCCGTAAAAACATTTTAGAATTCTTGCAAAACATGATTCAGTGGACAAGAGACAAAATGTGTGAGATAAGCAACAAAAATTACAGAGATAACGTGCAAATGGGTGACTTAAAAGTAGAATCTGAAGACTTGCTAAAAAAGAAAACTAATAATACTGGTAACACAAGTAAAAATCTTGAACGCGAGCAAACATTTGGTAACAAAGGTGAAAATCTTGAACGTGAGCCAACATTTGGAAACACATCAGCTATTTCCATGGGAAGTTTAAGAATTCCAAAGAATGCTACGGAAATAAATGACAACGTTTTAACTGCTACAATCACAAGTAATGGCCCCGACCACAATTCCACTGCCAACAATGAAGGGACAGAAAGCGAAACAGACACTGATACTGAAGTTGAAAGTGGTTACAATTCTAATATTTCACCTACAGACGAAGCAAATAGAGTAGCCAAAAGCAAAGGGGTTGTTCGCGTAATTACAGAAATAAATCTCCGATGAATTGTTGTTTGTTCCTCAAAAAATATATAATAAAATAAATAATAATAATAATAAGCTTAAAAAGACAGCACATATCTTTTTGCATTGTATGATATAAATCGGTGAATGTATGCATATATGTGGTCATGCATTAATATTTATCAACAATATAAATGTACAATGATGACCATTGCCATGTACTTAAAATGCTTACATAAATCTCGTATTTACTAAAATGTACATATCCATCAATGCCAAAAAATATGTCATCTGTGTATGCGTGGCTTTCTGTGAGTTCCGTGTTGTGCTCTATTAAGTTATTGGTACGTCCCACCCTTTCTTTCTCCGTCCTTGCGTCATATTGCCCCAATTTGGTTTGATGCCTATGGTTGAAGCACGTTTTGTTGAGAACAACGACCTGTGAACACCGCCTTGCCTTGTTGATTTTGTCACTTTTTTAAAAAAAGTATTGACTTTGATTGATAATTTGTCATTTAAAACCATATCACATGGCATATGTGAAACTGTAATGTCAGTAAAGAATAAGTTATAAGTACCATTATGTTATGTTAGATAATGTTAAATAAATTTCTCTGTCATTTTTTTTTATATTATTCATAAAAGAATTAATTTTGATTGATATATTGTCATTTAAAACCATATCACAGGGCATATGTGAAACTGTAATGTCAGTAAAGAATAAGTTATATGTACCATTATTTTATGTTAGAAAATGTTAAATAAATTGAATGATGCTCAAATGTGTGATGTATCATACATAAGGCGATAGTTGTGATAGTGAGATTTGTGTTGGTAAACACGCTAAAAACTGACAGTGGTTCTTTAACTTTTGTTATTCTATTGATATGTCATTTAGATCAGTACATCAAATAAAAGAGTAAATGAAATAGATTGTTGATTTCAGTGTTGTTATATTTTTCTGGTCCTTCGGGATCATTGATGCCAGCACTACTAAGTGTTGAGAATTGAGTACCGCTCAAGCCGGTGCTAGAGGGCGTGAGGGATGTTGCACTTGTTCATTATCCCTCATGTACAGACTCAATCGAACCGAGTCTGCAATTTTCAAGTAATTTTGTTATGATTAATAAGGGATAACTTTGTTTCCAGATTTTATTTTCTTATTGTTTTGTTTGTGTGTGGGAGTGGGTTTCATTAACCTTATACACCAAACTGATCGGCATTGTACATAGAGACCGAATTCTACTGATGTATTTTATTGTTTTAGGTCTTAAAAAGCTATATCAGATTGCCATAAAGAGTCAACAGTTTGTATTCATAGACACATTAGCGGATTTTGACCACTGACATGAAAGATAAAACATTGAAAACATTAATTTCAACGTCAATACATTGTAATATCAAACATGTTTAAGGTCGTTGACTTTAAACCACTTGCCCCTCGCCGACAGGGACTTGGATTCTTTCATGTGAGGAAGCTTTCCAGCTAGCTTATGGAACGTCAGTGGTTCTACTCAGGTGCCCGTTCGTGCCTGAAATAATGCACGAAGAGGCACCTGAGGTCTTCCTCCACCAGTAAAGCTGGAACGTCGCGATATGACCTATACTGTGTCGATGTGACGTAAAACCCAATCAAAACAAAAACAAACAAACATGTTTGTTTAATCAAAAGTATTCGACGCAGCCGTCCGATTAGCAGCTAAATAGGTAGTGCGTTGGACTGTGAATCGGGCGTCCCGGGTTCAATTCCCGGACCGTGCAGGTCACTTACGTTTTGATTGATAATAAAATGATTAAAATCCTTTCGACGATCATTCAAACTGTACCTCGGCTCTTGCATGTACAGAAGTTATCAGCTCCTTGCGAAAGTGAAGGCAACAAGTAATGGTTAACTGCTTGACAGGAACGATGCGGTGGCTGAACTATACCCTGATTGTTCAAAATGAAAACTACCAACACCTCGACAGTATATGAAGCAATCACAAATATCTCAAAGCCGAATGCATAGTCACAAAATTATATAAATGCGCTGATTTTAGTTAAATTAACAGTATTTGATTTTAATAAGATTGGGCTTGATCCCTCCTGTGATGACGACCCTGATGGAAGTGGCGTTGGTAATTTTTCATTGAATTTATAGAGTTCAGCCACCGCTTCGCTCCTTGACAGGTTGTCAAGCAGTTTAACAGTACTAGTTGCCTTCACTTTCGCAAGGAACTGAAACGTCTGTACATACCAGAGCAGAGGAACAATGCGAATGACCGTAGAAAAGATTTCTTGATCAATTACTATGAAAATGACCTGCACCGTTCGGTTATCGAATACGGGTAGCCTGATTCACAGGCCAACACTCTACCCGACGCTCACACGAAGACCCTGTTTCCTCATATGTCATAAATACTGGTTAGGTCCAGGAAGAGTCCTCCACAGTGGTTCCAAAAGTTTTAAATGATAAAAACCTAACGATTTTTTTTAAAGAATTTGTGACTGTTTATTGCTGATATTTAGTGTTTCAATATCAAACCACTTACTGCACTGACAAGCAGTCCTTTGTAATAGTTTCGTAATAAAGCAAACGTCTTCAGAAATGCCTCTTTATGTAGGTAATAAAAGAATATCATAGTTACCGCTAAAGTATAAAGGTATTCAATAGAACCTTTTCCACCAGTATCGGTCGGGTCAGGCCAGTCTCTAGTAAGGCCAAAAACTGTTTGCTGTTTTAGATTTTTTTTCATATTGAAATCCCTTTTGAAATGGACTGTTCAAAACTCAAAGCTGGACAAATCCATTTCACTAAAGCAGCAGTATATGAAGGTATTCTAGTAATACCAAAATTATTCGTGGGGAACTTATTTTCGTGGTTATCGTGAATAAGTCAATTCACGAATTTATGATCCAACGGAAGGTAGTCATATAAACACAGGAGATAGGTTGAAAAATATACATGTATATAAATAGTTGGCTATGGTGAATTCACTAAATTTCGTGGGCATGAAATTTTGTGGATTTGTCACAAAGAACATGTTCGTTGGTTCTTAAATTCGTAGACGGTTTATTTTTTCAAAAAGTAAAATGTAAATAATTTGATGTAAAAAAACTTACAGAAGACGTATTAGATGTCGTTGGATCTTAAATTCGTAAATTGACCTATTCACGATAACAACGAAATTTAGTTCCCCACGAATAAAGTTGCAGAATTTAATAACAAAAAGACGTCGATTGCAATAAAACAAAACACTAATCGCATTGTCTGATATGTACTATTAATCTTTTATTAAGAATAAATGCTATACATTTTTTTATCTTAGCAAATACATAACAATAATATTACAATGAAATTGTCGTTAATGACGTTTAGAAAATATGCTTAATAGAGATCTAGCATCTATGTATGTGTAACAAGTAATAAAAAGTATAAAAGTGTAAAAAGTTCCCTGGATATGAAAGAAAAATTGGTAGCAAAAATCGAGGGTCTTCAAAAATAAAGTTGAAGCAAATGTACAACAAGATATGTATGTGAAATAACTCTTATCGGTCTATTTTGCATTTTGGAACATATCGCCGATTACTCAAGTTTGGTGGAAATGGCTGATAAGTTTAGGCTCAAATGAAAGAATAAGTACGTATCAACTATGAAAACAGTATTTTAATATCTATATTAATCCGAACAAATCTAATATTGGAAAGAAGAAAAATATTGATTTACATATTAGATAGGAACAAAAACATGAATTATAACCATTATTTTCAAAATATTACATGCTTATTCCGTTTTTAATATAGTAAGTGATGTACTGTTTCATTTGTTTTATAGTTGTTTTGATAACGGTTGCTAATAACTGCATTTTTGGAGTCCACCACCCTTCCCCCCCCCCCCAAGTTCAGTGATATACTCATGTGTTTCACTGCCACATGCGCGCGCATTAATTTGCATTATTCATCGGTTCCATACAAAGAACTTCATTGCCCTTAGGCTAGGTACACATATAAGCCTACAGCGTAATAAAGCAGTATGCATGGTCCTTGTAGTAAAACACACGTGTTACAGCAGAAATTGTCACCATGGTAATTATCACCATGGAAATTATCACCATAGATATTATACATATAGAAATTATCACCATGGAGATTATCTCCATAGAAATTACAATTATCAGTAACGAAATAGAGAGAGAGAGAACGTTTCCATATACTAAAGGATTGGCCATGAAACAATTGGCCATCGTGCGCAATATAGCGTGTTTTATATTCATGAAATATAACAAAACATATAATATATCTTTAACATAAAAAAGTATAATTCAATTAAAATCTATGAAAATGACGTCATTGCTTGTGATGATCACTTTACATTAGCAAAACTGTTCTTAAAGGCAATGACATGTATTGTTCTTTTTTTATTGATAGTGTTCAACTTTTTTCTTTTTTGTTTACAATCTACCTACGAAAAATTAGTGACAACTGATCTAGTTATTTTCTTACTGCATTCAAGTTTTTGTTTTTGTTGTTTTTTTTCTATCATTTTATCTTATAAATGCCGGCTGTAAAAATTATGATGATTCCTTTTTTTCCTCCGGTGAGTTTTTGTTTATGAGTCATACTTTCTTAACTCACTGATGATGCAACAGGTAAAAATCACGCAGACGACCTGGAAAAAAAATATTGATTTATTTGGATATATGCTTTAAAGTTATTGGTCAGTCTTTAGAAAGGTCATTATATATTGAAAGGCGTTTGGAAATTGCTTGTAAGTTACAACTCATGAAAGTCAGTCTTCAGAAAGGTGATTGCATTTTTGGGGACAGGATGAGGGTTGGGAATGAAAATATTACTTGCAGAACATGTGCACAACGATCTTCGTTAAATTTTTTTTAACATTTACGTTTTTTCCCGTATCAGTTTCCTCGTCCCACAATGGCCAAATTTACTATATTAAACCACGGATTTATATTATTTTAGTTAATTAAGATCCGTGGTTTAACTCAAAAGATTCTAGATAAATGTTTAGATATTTACGTGAACACTTCACGAAATAAAAATCCAAAGATTTTTGCTTTTATTTTAAACAAAACCGTACTGTCAATTTCCTTTGTTAAATGAACGAATATCAATAAAAAATATATATCATAATTGTAGGCTCCTTTTTCATGTGAAGCCATAAAGATATGACATTAAAAATAATATTGATTACATCTGACTTTAAACATACAAAATAAAATTATATAAAAATGCACAATATATATAATTGTATATAATAAAAGGTTACCTCAAGGGCGACAATCCCGGCGGCAATTCCAATTACGATGGCAATTCTGTCCTTCAAATAACTTTCAATCGAATCCCAACATGGCTGGAAACAAAATGAGATAGTCATAGAATCAGTTTAATGAAAACTTCTTACAAATCATGTCATTCGTTTCTATTTTAATTAGTAAACAAGAACTGTCGGAGGACAGTAACGCTCGACTATTCGAAAATTTGTCACAAGGGTGTTTCATTGAGTATAATAATGCTTACCTATATGAATACATAAAATTGTCCGAAAAGGTACAAACTCTTCAAGTTTCAATACATTCCCTTCAGTAGTTATGGAGAGACAAGCTTACATGCAAAAACTTAATCAAGAATTCATGTGTCGAAAAAGGGGCATAATTATGCAAAAAAGCAAATCAGAGTTATGGGACTTGTACCAATCATCTTAGATAATCACAGAGACCAAGTGTGTGAAGTTTCAATCCATTCCCTTCAGTAGTATGGAGATACCAGCTTACATGCAAAAACTTAACCAAGAATTTCTAAGTCGAAAAAGGGGCATAATTATGTTAAACAGCAAATCAGAGTTATGTGACTTGTGCCAATCATTTTAGAAAATCACAGAGAACAAGTGTGTGAAGTTTCAATCCATTCCCTTCAGTAGTTATGGAGATACCAGCTTACATGCAAAAACTTAACCAAGAATTTCTAAGTCGAAAAAGGGGCATAATTATGTAAAAAAGCAAAATCAGAGTTATGGGACTTGTGGCAATTATCTTAGATAATCACAGAGAACAAGTGTGTGAAGTTTCAATCCATTCCCTTCAGAAGTTATGGAGATACCAGCTTACACGCAAAAACTTTACCAAGAATTTCTAAGTCGAAAAAGGGGCATAATTATGTAAAAAAGCAAATCAGAGTTATGGGACTTGTGCCAATCATCTTAGATAATCACAGAGAACAAGTGTGTGAAGTTTAAATCCATTCCCTTCAGTAGTTATGGAGATAACAGCTTACATACAAAAACTTAACCAAGAATTTCTAAGTCGAAAAAGGGGCATAATTATGAAAAAAAGCAAATCAGAGTTATGGGACTTGTGCCAATCATCTTAGATAATCACAGAGAACAAGTGTGTGAAGTTTCAATCCATTCCCTTCAGTAGTATGGAGATACCAGTTTACATACAAAAACTTAACCAAGAATTTCTAAGTCGAAAAAGGGGCATAATTATAAAAAAAGCAAATCAGAGTTATGGGACTTGTGCCAATCATCTTAGATAATCACAGAGAACAAGTGTGTGAAGTTTCAATCCATTCCCTTCAGTAGTTATGGAGATACCAGCTTACATACAAAAACTTAACCAAGAATTTCTAAGTCGAAAAAGGGGCATAATTATGAAAAAAAGCAAATCAGAGTTATGGGACTTGTGCCAATCATCTTAGATAATCACAGAGAACAAGTGTGTGAAGTTTCAATCCATTCCCTTCAGTAGTTATGGAGATACCAGCTTACATACAAAAACTTAACCACAGGGACGCCGACGCCGACGCCGACAAATGGGTGACTGCATTAGCTCGATTATTCTGCGAATAGTCGAGCTAAAAAGTGAATAATGCAGCATTTTGTTGCAGTGTCCATTGATTGAATCAAAAAGAATTTTAAAATAACGGAATCCCCAAATAACGCCCAAAAACGACAAAATTGAAAATGTTGCAGACTAGGTTTGGTTGAGCCTGTTCATGGACGATAGTGGAAAGTGTCTGTTACTGTCCACGCACCATAGCACTGGCTTAAGCAGGATATAAAATAATTCAAAGCTCCTTTTGCAATCTTTGATGATTGATGCAAAAGTCATTGGACTGTTTTGAAGGTTCGTCCATATTTACAAACATCCGATCAGAGACCGCTAAGTTGTCGAATGTGATAAACTATAGCCTTTTATGCAACCATAGAGATATTAAGAATACTCAAACTGATCATATGTTCGGATGTGGTAAGAAGTCCGTATACAATAACTTGGACAAATGATTCCGACAAACCTTCGAGAGGAACAAGAATTGATAATATATATGTTGAACAGGCTGACCACCGTTTAAATTTTCGAAGCCTAAAATCGTATAAATTTAGGTACTGATTTTAATCTGATTATATGTTGAAAAGTTCACTCAAACATAAGTAGAATTTCGAAGACCTGAGGAATCAATTCCCGATTTCATTTTCATGAATTCCCGGTTTCAACTTCACGAATTCACGATTTCAAATTCAAGAATTTAAGATGGAGATCATGAAGCTGAAATCGTGAATTCCATATGATGAAAACATCAATTCACGAAGTTAAAATTGTGAACTCACGAAGATAAAATTTGGGGATTGGTGAAGTTGAAATTAATGTCCCTACCGGCCAATTGTAGGAGAACCTTTTAGTTTTACAGATTGTGAACTTACCTCATTGATATTAGAATTAGTTCCAGTCGGACTGGTTGGGCAATTTTCGTCTTCCAGGACAGCTTTTTGATCTTTCAAGTACTCATCTTTATCTGTTGGTATGATAAAAAAATATAGTAAAGTGTATTAATTACTGCATAATCATCGTTATTATATTATTATGTCACATAGGGCCTATAAACAGCTTTTAAATGACTTTCTCCGATTGGTTGAGATGAAATTTTAAAAAATAGTGAATATCAGGGTATATTCACTGTTTTTTCTTTCTTAAATAGATTTTCTGGAAAGCTCACAAAAGACGCATGCAATGACGTGACGTCACGCCAAGTTTGTTGTTATTTATCTGAGAAAACGTTGGGCAACTCGCAAATAAACGTCAAATTAGACTTTTTTCGTTACCGTCTTTCTATTTTCAAGAATAGTTCGAATGTAGCGTGCCATTGCGCTCATTAAAATGTCGGAGCCAAATAATTGAATACGAAGACAAGCTTAAAAATGACGATTATAATTATAATCTTACACAGGCTGCCGGTAAAGACCAGAATATGTAGCTCGATGGTAACTGTTTACAGCGGTAACGTGGCTCTGCCGTGTTTCCGCTAAAAAGTTGCCCGAGAGCTAGATATTCCCGTCTGTACCAAGAGCCGGTGTTTGATTCTTTTTGTTGCATATCCAATGTAAATTATTTTCGGAACAGATATTATGACTGATATTCTCATTACGCACTTTTTTCTTATAGTAGCGTATGAACATACAACTTCATTCATAACGGAAAAATTACGTCATCCTAAGAACGCGATTCATTCATAAAAGGCCACGTCAATGAGGTCATTTAAAGCACGCGACATGTCTTACATGGGGGGTGTATAGCACCGGTGTAAACGGTAAATAATCCTGTCTGAGATGCAAGAATCTATCATATTCAATATCAGATTTGATACCCCATATAAAAGCGATTTATAGACTATATAATAAAACAGATATGTACTTTTTAGCTTGTGAATATGATGTGATATTTCCTGAAAAAAAATTAATATAGACCGAGGCGATATTTGTATATTATTCGTAGGCACTTTTTTCGTGGTTTTCGTGGATATGTCAATCAATGAATTAAAGATTCAACGAAATCTTATTTCGTCTACTATATACAATTGTTATAACAATACTATTTGCATTGTACTTTTTGCACAAACAGACAATCTGCGCAAAAACATTTTTTTGACTAAACCACGAAATTTCATGCCCACAAATTCATTAATTTAAGTGAATTCACGTTTCAATTTTCATTTAAGTTACAATGGAGTAAACTGCAAGACATACGCTTATTTCATTTTGATACGTCAAGACTGGGGTCACAGACAGTCACGAAGTTTTACGACGAAAATTTACGACGGCTTTATGGATAAAGTCCCGTAAACATCATGATACTGTATTCTACTTTTTTATTTATTTGAAATCAGTAACGTTAAGCGATAATAATAAAAATGTTTTCCAAACCTTTAAGTTTACAGCAAGTTTTAGGAATTATCACATTTGCTGAGTGGTTCCATTTTGTAGCACCTTCAAACTCCTTGTAGCTGTCAATGCCACAACATTGGAACTGAAACAAGTTACTTCATGGTTAATCTGTAAAACAAGATCTGCCGGAGGACAGTATTGGCTCGACTATTCGAAAAAGTTGTCACAAGGGTGTTTTATTAAGTATAATAATGCTAATTACCTATGAATAAATAACATTGACCGAAAGGATACAAAGGCTTGTTATTAAGATGTTTTATCAAGTAAATCACTGCTTAATTATCATGAATGCATGAAAGTGTCTCAAAAAAGGCAAAAACCCTTCAGTAGTTATGGAGATAACAGCTTACAAGCAAAACTTTACCATGAATTTCTAAGTTGAAAAAGGGGAGAAAAATCAGCCTAAATGCAAGGTAGAATTATGGATCTTGGTCAGTGACCTACAATTATGACCCTAAATGCATATGTGAAGTTTTAAATAAATATCTTTAATAGTTATTGAGATATGTAAAACTTGCATGTAAACATTCACCAAAAGACTAAGTAGAAAAGGGGAGATGAATCAGCCTAACTGTAAGATAGAGTTATGGAACTTGGTCAGTGACATACAATTATGACCCTCCAATTATGACCCTAAGCACATGTGTAAAGTTTTAAGTAAATATCTTTGATGACCTTTAACCTTTAACCAAAATTTCTAAGTTTCAAAGGGGCAAATAATTCTGCAAATATTGCAGGCAGAGTTATGCAATTTTGCAAACTGATGTACATTGTTAATATAAAAAAGTATTGTAAATTTCAATTGAATTGAATATCTCAAGCAATAATTAAGATATTTGACTTTACAAAAAAACTTTAACCAAAATTTCTTAGTTAAAAAGGGGCATAATTATGTTTATATTGTAGGAAGAGTTATCCAACTTGTCAATCTGATGTACCTTGTTACTTTAAAAAAAAGTATTGTAAATTTCAATTGAATATCTCAAGCAATAATTGAGATATTTGACTTTACAAAAGAAATAAACCAACGCAGACGCCGACGCCGGGGCGACTACAATAGCTCTCATATTCTTCGAATAGTCGAGCTAAAAACAACGTTTATGATTAAAGATAAATATAAATACACGTTAACATGTATGGCATATACTGACTCCATTGTGTATAATGTACACACATCTTTTGAGTTGTTTCATAAAAGCGAAACATGACATTGTGGTATCTAGTGTTACGTTTGCTACAATTGGTTTCTCCTTGGAAGCGTATTAAAAGTTTTTGGGTAATCATTCGATTATATCATAATCTATTCTCAGACAAAAAAGACGTCTGGCTCTGTCGAACATAATCAATCAAAGTTGTGTGTTTGTGTAAACTCGACTGATTATGAAACAAATTAACAAGGAGGAACATATACCGTGGTAATAGTAAAACATAAAAAAAATTATCTTTGCCATTTGGAACAAGATATGTTTGTAAAACATGTATGCCCCTTATCGGCAGCTAATTAGTCATGTTATCAGGTTATTATGCATGACTTCTGACCCAGTGAACAAACAATAATTAAGGGTTATCTAGTATCTACTGGTCATGACTAGTCACAAAGTAATAATTAGTGTGACCCATAGGTTGTGTGCAGCAATTTAAGTTATTACAAATCTTACCAAATAATATACCATTAATATTATGAAATTATGAGGCCTCATTAATGACAGCCAATTTGTTATATTACATAAGACCTTCAAATGTATATACCAAAATTATTTTAAGTAAAATATAACAATATCAACCAAGGCAACTGGAGTTGTTGAGTTATTGGTCAGAAACCGTCATTTAGTACAAGTTCAATGTGACATTGACCCTTTCCCCGAAAATCAATAGGGGTCATCTACTGGTCATTACCAATCATCATACCAAGTTTGAAGTTCCTAGGCCTAAGCGATTTTAACAATTGATCAGAAACCGCTTTTACCTACAAGGTCAATGTGACCTAGACCTTAAACACCAAAATCAATAGGGGTCATCTGCTGGTATTGACGAATCACCGTACCAAGTTTTAAGTTCTTAGGCCTAAGCGTTCTTTAATTATTGATCGGAAACCGTTTTTACCTACAAGGTCAATGTGACCTTGACCTTTGACCCCAAAATCAATAGGGGTCATCTGCTGGTCATGACCAATAATCATACCAAGTTTGAAGTTCCTAGGCCTAAGTGTTCTTTAGTTTTTGATCAGAAACCGTTTTTACCTACAAGGTCAATGTGAATTTGACCTTTGACCCCTTGACCCCAAAATTATTAGGGGTCATCTGCTGGTCATGAACAATCACCATACCAAGTTTGAAATTCCTAGGCCTAAGCGTTCTTCAGCTATTGATCGGAAACCGATTTACCTACAAGGTCAATGTGACCTTGACCTTTGACCCCAAAATTAATAGGGGTCATCTGCTGGTCATGACCAATCACCATACCAAGTTTGAAGTTCCTAAGCCTAAGGGTTCTTTACTTATCACTCGGAAACCATTTGGTCTATGGACCGACGGCCCAACGGACCGACAAATGCAAAGCAATATACCCCCTCTTCTTTGAAGTGGGGTCATAATAAAGAACTGTGCGCTTCAACACAACAGTATAAAACACCAAATTTTGAAATATTTCTTGAATGAAATGTATGAAAACCATCGAATAATTCAGACATAAAAACATGTAGACCAAAAACTGAAAAAAAAATAAATATATGTACTTACATATACTTGTGCGTAGTCAAGACCCAAAGAGAATTCTTCCTTTGTGTCGATTTTTCCTTCATACGTGGTGTTAATGTTTTTCTTTAAGAAATCTTTCAGCTCGTCTTGAACCTTAAATGTTTTAAAAACAAATGCCGATATAGAACTTTTTTCATTTTTCAAATTATGTGAAATAGATAAGGACTTAGTTCCGCTTGAATATTTTTGATCAAGGTAAAAGAAGCAAGAATTGCTCTATTTCATTCGCCAGAAAAATGATTCGGTCATAATCTCCATCGTAAAAGTGGAATATATTAATATGTTATATTATCAAACTGTAAATATATCTGTTTCAAATTTTTATTCTAAATCAACAACACTTACCTTTCCTTGGAATACAGCAGCGATTATAATGGCGGCCAACTCCACAATAAGTATTATTATCAAAAAGAATGCGTACTGAAAAAAAAAGTAGTTCGGACATTATTCATGTGTCATTACAATTAGACCGGCAAAAGTAGTTCTTTCTCATAGCTAGGTTTGCTCATTGCAATAAATTTCTGGTATATGGGAGAAAACAATATTTATTAATGACAATGAAAATATCGTAATTGTCTCTCTTTTCCCAGTGATATAAACATTATATTTAGATCTAACTTAAGTAATTGTTTCAGTCAAGAAATCTTAAGTCAAGTTTTAGTTTATTTTAGTATTGAAACACTCTCGCATCTGTTATTGGAACCAACCAGTACTAAGCTTCTTGCTCAAGGAAATAACGGCTTGTCCCTGACAGGGTTCAGCAATCCTTGGATAACTAGTCCGGCGCGTTAACAATTCCGCTACGCCGCCACTAGTCTAGTTTTATGGACGTTAAGCTGTTGCAACTTTTCATATTAACACTTATTTGTTATTCATAAAATACGGAAATTGACGAAATCTACCGAAAATCAACGAATGTGATGAAGACAATATCTACGAAATATAATTCTGATAAAACTCACCAGGCCCAGTAAGCACTTATTTTGTTTCATGGCACCACAACATCCGAGGAATCCGATCAGCAATATTGCTCCGCCTCCTACCAGCAGAACAATGGCGGCTGATTCCAGCAATCCTGGGGAAAACGAAAACAGATATACTACTAATGCAAATCTCATACAAGAACAGTAGAATACTTACAACGAATGGAGAAAATGACTATTTGAAGACAAAAGGTTTTAATTTTTTTTTCATTGTAGCCACTATCAGCTTGTCTTCCAAGTTCACTACTTATATACAAATCGTAATGTGTTCCTGTTTTCAAGGGAAACTTAATATATGTATTAGTTTAGTGTCTGAAATCAATTTAACCGTTGTGCCCTTTCACAACACCATCGTATCCTTTTCTTTAAAAAAATATTTTCTTCTTCTGTCTTCATTAATACCAAATAATAGATTATTCCGTTTTGTATTTGCATATTAGAGGTAACTAGTCAAGTTAACAAAAATCTTTATTACATTTCACACATATAAACAAACAAAACATTAGTTTACGGTGGCACAGAGATGACATGTGTGTGTTATTTAGTTAAGTGGTGCGCACGAGATACTATGTGGTGCGCCCGAATTAGTAAGTGGTGCGCACGAGTTACTGTGTGGTGACTGGTTAATTATGTTGTGCGCATGACTTAGTAACTCTATAATATCTCGTAAGCACCACATAATTTATGGTGCGCACGGCTTGTTATCTCGTCCACATGACTTAGTAACTCGTGCGAACGACTTAGTAACTCTTGCGCACGAGATAAATAAGAAAACGCACACATATATATGCATGTCACGTCTGTGCCACCGAGATAATCAATATGCACTATACCCTAAATCAAAAATATTAACCTCACAGAATCTATAAAAAATGTACCAACCAGTGACATTAAAATCCGAATCATCAGCACCAACCTTGGTGAGAACGTTCATCTTGTTTTTGTCTACAAGTGCCCATATTCCTAAACCGAAAGCTGCCGCTCCAAGAATCTGGATGAAACAGAAAACATGTTACTACATAAAACGCGTCTACTAAGATAAATTTTATAATACACACTACTTGATTACATATCCACGAAAAGACATTAAAACCAAACCAACATTAGATTGCGTAATGACATTCAAACAATAAGCCAAAATGGCCGCCGCGCATGTGCAGTAAGTAACGTTAGATACTTGCCAACTTCCCAAATACGCAAAGCATTAAATACGCATTATGCCTAAGAAATAAATTTTTTGCAATCTTTAGAAAGGGTAACGTTAAAAGAAAAGCATTTCTGGGGCAATTTGGGCCTTTAAAATTTCAAGTTTTCTATTGAATACTATATACTTAAACAATAGAATAAAGTTTCCCAATCTGATGTCACCTCATGTATAAATGTAAATAAAAACGTTAATGGAAGAGAGTAGATTAATCAGTTTTGTTCGTGCTTGAAAAACAGACATTTGCTCTCTTTTTTCTCTTTGTGAAAAACAAATTCCGAAACTAACGTTAGAATTCCTGTATTACTTATTTGATCTCTTTGTAAAATAAATTTCCAAAAGTTTCGTAACGAAACTTTGTTACATTCGAGTCATCAATTACTTCATTTTCTCAAACGTTTATTGTTCTGTTTGTACGGTTTTTGGTACGGGTTTTGTACGGTCAAGGAAGAACATGCAAAGCGATGTTTGTAAAATGTAGAAAAAATAGCATATTCATTAACTTACAAAGAAAAGGAAGTTGATGACGAACAGAATGTATTTCATACACGACTTTCCGCAGCCTAGATCCGCCATTGTGACTCTTTATGTTCTGAAATAAAAGAAATATCAGTAAGATTATTAAAGGCCCATTTAAAATTATTAAAGGCCCATTAAATGGACTCCACTGGGATTTAAAAGCCTAAAAATATAACATTTGAATATCAAACATAAAAGTGCTAGGGCATTTTAATGAGAGATATATGCAAAGATAGTTAAGAAATATACTTGGAAATAAATTTAAAATCTTATTTAAATGCTTTTCTTAGCCAGATTTGAGTGAAACCGTTTAAACGATTTTCATTTTGGGTCATTTTTTTACAATTTGAATAATTATTCTGAACTAAACGAAGTGCGCGTATAATCTGAAATTTTGCACAAAGATAAGTTTTTTTTAACCTACATCAAAATATACATTAATCTGGAAAAAATATTTTCAGTCCCATCATCTCAAAATAACTCATAATAAATTTTATTTACTACATAGTTACTATCTTTTGCTTCTTAAATTGTATTTTTGGCAATAAGTATAGCAATTTTCATTGTGAGATAGTATTTTGTGCGTGTCAAAATTACATATGTATCTTTTTAAAGTTAAGCACTATTTACTTCAGGTGATAAGCATCTCACATATTCTGAATCATTTAATTTCAACATGGTAAAACACATATTTCACCCCTTCTATAGAATGAAAAAAAAACATATTCATTTGAGGAGTAATTAATTTACCTTTAACCCTTAACATGCTGAATATTTTAAATGGACTTGTCCCATTTCCTTTTTTGGGACTGTCCATTATCAATTTTAGGGATATCAATTTGAATATGTAAAGTTTGTAAGCCAACAATATAGAGCCTGGTCAGACTGCATGGACGTGCAGGCTGGCCTGGCTCAATACTGGTGGCAAAGGCTTAAGGCTTTCGGTTCCAGCATTTTAAGGGTTAAGACATGTCATGGGGTTTCATTAGATTGATTTATGGAGAAAAAATGATTTGAACGAAATTCCTTTCTAGATAATAGTCATTTGTACTCTTCTTGTTTTCAATAATATAGATTTTCTTTCTTAAAATCATGGCACGCATAGTTTGATGCCATTTGTGTGTAAACATTTACTTTCAAAATTGTAGCAATTTTTAGTATATACAAAAATATTTATTTTATCGGCTTATATTACAGATGCAGCCAACTAGCAACCATAATAAATCAATTAATCAATCATTCATAGATAAATCAATCAATCAATCAATCAACCAACCAACCAAACCAACAAACAGCCAAACCAACCAACCAACCAGCCAATGAACATATATTTTTCGGAATAGTCCTCTTCGTAAAGACATTAATGTCACGGTTCAGAACTGTTCATTATTTAGGGGAGAATATGTGTAAGCAGCAGGATAGCTCAGTCAGTAGACCCGCGGTACGGTATTCCGAGGGTCCCGGGTTCGAGTCCCGGTCAGGCTGAACATAGTTCTCACCCTGTGACATTTGACACCCAACGTTGGGCTATATACTATAAATTAACCAACGTCATTCTTTTTTCTATTTATAACCAGTCCTGTAGACAACTAAATACATGTATGTAAAAATATCGTTTTGATGAGAAAAAAATTTAGCACTCAGGTCTTTGGCATTTGTGGTCAATTCCTACGCATCAAAACTCCAAACCGGTGTTTAATAACCGGTAAACACAGCCAGACCGATATTATTTCTTAACGCAAACTGAAGTTTCCCACTCAAGAGCTGATAACTGGGGGGGGGGGACATTAATAATTTGTTAAATAGAATGATTTCTTCGAAGCTTCCGGTATTTCACGTGCGTACTCGTTCAATGGAAATAGAAATATTGGTTTGCAAAGTCAAACTTTCACGTCTTAAAAACGGACAGACGGATACCTGTATCCCTTTCACCAAATACCACTTACCAAGGAAATCAAAACTTTAAACAAGACCAGTCCTATACTTGTTATGATAAATACTTTTATTGGGGTAAAAATATAGTAAAATCATGCATAAATATGTCAAAGGTTTTTTTATCATCATTTATATAAAAAAATACGTTCAGTCAATTAATGTCATAAATATAATGTATTTTTGTAATGAGCCATAACACTGTTATTACACTGTTACAAATCAAACGCATATCTTAACCAGTGTGGTATGAGACATTCCAGTTGAGATTTGATATCAAGGCGTGTTACGTGTCTTAAATCGACAAAAAAACACCGACAAAGTATGTATATAATATGAAGGTGTGTATTTGGCAAAGCTTTAGCCGTCTTAGTCTTGAAAAAACGAACTGTGTGTCACATTACAAAAAAAAAAAAAAAAAAAAAACTGACCAAGTTGAAAAGTCGTAATTAAAGTCTGATAGTTGCCTCGACAAATGACGTCAGATCACGTACATTTTACTCGGGTGTTTACGGCAGTTCATTCTACTAAGCGGACGGCTTTTATCCTTTTGATTTCATATCAAATTCGTACACACTTAAGTTAACGACCTTGGGAAATAGATAATAAATAATGCAATTTAAGACTTCTTCCTATTCTATATCCTATATAGTAGGTCAGTCAACCGGGATAGCCACAAAATGATTGCTTGCTTTAAAGTACGTCAATTATATAATGTCCATACACTGGTGTTGAAGGAGAAATAGAGGATATTGATTGAGTGTATGTTCAATTCTGAATTTATTGAAAAAAATCACATTATGCGAGCCACTATTTTATCTAACGACTTCAATAAATTCAATAATGATTTTACAAGAATATAGGTATTCTACTTATCACATACCCAAAATAAAGATGTTTTAGGTGAAAAAGATAAAAATATTTATTTTCGCGCCCAAAGTGTTTTTTACAACGCTAACATTAAGTACGTCTTTTACACTGTGTTTGTATACCGCAAATGACGCCATGGGAAGAATTTCAAATTATAAATGTCAAAAAAAGAGAAAACTGTTTATAATAAACAGAAAATTAAAGTTTTTTTTCTATAAATACAGGATTTCTTTTCATCTTGTTGGATGAAAATTATCATATTTCAATTGTGGTAACCGCCATTCATGAAATATTTAATTTCATACCACGCGATGAAACAAAATCCTGTATTTATAGACAAAAAACACTTAAATATCCTCTATTTATCTAAAAATAATAGCTCAAACATGAAGTAAAATATTGTCATAATCTTTTGTTGTCAAGTATAAATGTACATCATACTGAATTATTTTTAAAGAAAGTTGGTTGTTGCGAAATTGTATGATTCATACATGTATAATGTCATATGACAAGTTGTTAATGTCTATTTCAACATCTGAACGAGGGCGGTGTTTACGGCATATATGAGTCTTATCAGTAGGTGTTTCACTATTTATCGCACACCCTGTAATCCTGAAAAAAATCCATATCGCCTCTCCTATCACGATGACCGTTGTAAATGGATTTTTCATATTATATTTATTTTTCCATATTGATTTCTGTACGAATATGAGACCATTCAAGTATAGCAACGCAAAAATTAGATAATTTGACGCGTCAGTGTCAATTAAGCTTGGAATGACTTAAATTAGAAAAACGCTACAACAAAATACAGTATAAAACGATTGTCTTAACGAAGCGGGAATAAGGAACTATTCAACAGAAATCTAATCAGCGCTGAAATTTTTTTAAGGTGGTTCTTATTTCCTAAGACAATACTTTCATTATCATGTTATATATTCCCCTAGATTTTGAAAAGTCTTCGCAAAGGGAAAGGACATGTTTGCGCCTGGTTATCGTTACTTGCTATAGACTACAATTGTTCTTTGGTGTATTGTAAGTATGAAATGGTAATTATCATAATTTTCACATTCTAACGTATGCAAGAGGACCATTTAATATATAGCCGCTATTTTATATGTTTAAGCAACTCTTTGTATGGGTAAGAGTTTGTATTAAGACGACCGTAGGGAGTCTTATCAAACTCTTACCCATATAACTGCAAATCGGCTCCTACAACTCGGTATCAGATAAAAATATAGGAAGTGTCACCTCTTTAATTTAGCATAACATCGTTTTTATCCCAGCAGTCACGTACAAACATGGGTGGGGTCCAATAACTTAATCTGGCATGTAAAACAAAGAGTTTTCAACAATACATAGGATTGTTAATGCAATTCATTCCTGTCGTATGAAACAAAATAATGTTTTGCTCACTTTTTTCTAGAAAATATAAACAGTCAGCAATTAATAATTGACATTTTTCTTAGAGTTAAAAGGATATCAAAAAGTTACTGTGTACTCATTATAACTGCAAATCGGCTCTTACTTGGCTTACCTCAACAGACGGTAGGATTTTGAAGTACAACACCAATTAAAACTAAGATGTACAGACAAATCTTAATGTGTGAAGGCTACTATTTCTTGATTTCGGAAACCTTATGTCTAGATGTAAGGGATAGGACATGTTCTATTTTGAAAATCTTGTCGTACCGATTTTTACAGGCCTCCCACAATGACAAGTAACAGATAATCAAATTATCTCCTGATAATGGGTGTAATGAATGAAATTCCATAACAATTAGGGCTAAAAGGTAAACATAGTAGTAAGATGGGGTAAAAATGATGTTGAAAAACTCTTAAGGAGACCCAAAGTTGTGTTATGTTCGAACCCCAAATTATTCCGAAAATGATTAATTCACGGTATTAAATTGTTCTCTAATTAGGGGAGGGGAGGTAGTTTGCAGGCGGCCAGATAGCTTAGTCAGCAGAGCCGCAGTACGGTATTTCGAGGGTCCCAGGTTTGAGTCTCAGCCAGGCTTCACATTGAAAAAAAAATAAAATATATATATATATATATATATATATATATATATATTTAAAATGGAGGTGTTTCAATCATTACTCATGGCGAAAAAGTATTTAGTGAGTAAAGTATGTAAAGGATCAATGTAAAGGAATCCTTTTTAGGGGAAACCTCAGATGATTCTTACAGTGTAGAATTACCGTCTGAATGCAAGTGTTGCATAGCTTTGAAAAGTGTACATCTTATCTCTAATTAGTGCTGTACTA